CGGTGTTGCCCTTGGGCAACGCTGTGGGCACCGGACGCCCGCCGTTGCTCTCGGGCAGCGCTGTGGGCACAGTAAGGGACAAGTGACGTCGACAGTCGTTAAAGCGGAGTGGTGAGAGTGTAGACTCTATCATCGAAGCACAGTTCTCATTCTTACTATACTCAGGGTTCTCCACTATAAGATCACTGTCCGAAAATATGCCTCCTGGTGAAGGCACCAAGCACCACCGCACACATCTTCACGCGTGACACTTCACACTGGTTTACGTTCCCCTCTATCTGCCGTAATAGACGAAAGCCTCTAATTTTGGCGATAATGACACTCGACTGTCCGAAAATATGTGACATTGTACTGCCCCGCGGGCAAATTGCTGAGCAGCTTTGTCCTACGCTTTATATTCTTACTCTGTTTCACCCAAAACCTCAAAAATTCTGTCCACACACTCTTCTCTCACAACTATAACACTCGAATCTCACTCGCCCGTTAGAAACAGCCATGCAATATTCTCGTACCTACAGTGTCGTCAGGAAAATCGTAAAAAAAGGACTGCACGAAAAACTAGCCCATCTTGGATATCCGTGAAATTCATTTGAAAGGAGTAACGAGTCTCACTTCGATTTGAGGCACGCCACGATGCGCAGGGGGGATCCCGGTAAGCTCGAATTTTCCCAGGAGGTTGTTGCCTTTGGTCATCGCCCTCTCGCCCTCGTAAACCTGGATCAGAACGTCCGGCTGATTGTCCGAATAGGTAGTGAAAGTCTGGGTCTGCTTGGTCGGGATGGTGGTGTTGCGTTTGATGAGGGCGGTCATCACACCGCCAGCGCACTCAATCCCGAGGGTCAGCGGAGTCACGTCGAGGAGTAGCAGGTCCTGAACAGTCTCGGACTTGTCACCCTGCAAAATGGCCGCCTGTACGGCCGCGCCGTACGCCACTGCCTCGTCCGCGTTTATCGATTTGTTTAGGTCCTTTCCGTTAAAGAAATCCTACGAGATAAAAGCACGAAACTTGGTAACTGTCTTTCTACGAACTCGCAGAATTATACGAAAACGTAAGATTTGTCCATTAGCATTAGGTTAATCAGTTCTCGCTCGAAAGAGCAATTAAAAGTGAGCCGGGCTAAATTAGAATTTATCGCGACGATCGCAGCCTCTAATTCAATTACGATTATTGGAGTCCTGGCGATAAAAGTCCTTCGACTCCCGGCGCCATAAATATATTCGCAGCGGGGCCGTGTACGTTTAATGGTACCGGTAACGCTGCGACTATGCATAGGGTCGAAAAACGCGGGTGTTGACTTTGTCATCGAGCTCGTTAATTCTGTAACGTTCGTTCCGGGGGAGTTGTGCCCTCCTCCCTCCGGGCTCTGTCATTCGTGATCCCGTACCCTCGTTCGGAGTTTCGAACCCCACTTAAAAAGCTGGGGTCGCTCTCTCTGCCGGCAAACGTAATCGAATTTTAATGCGTTTTATTATCGAGCTTGCCCTATATCATCCTGATTTCGTTTCAACCGACCGACACACCGTGTCCAATTCTTATCTCTGACGAGTTAACGGTGCTCCCCGGGAAGCAATTATTTTAAAAACCCAACAAATACACAGATCACGAAGAATGTCTTGAAAAAAAAAAAAAAGAAAAATACTACGAAAATCAAGTAACCTGAAGAAGTCTCTGGATTCGTGGGATCCTGGTGGAACCGCCGACGAGAACGATATCGTGAATCTTCGATTTATCCGTGTTCGCGTCTCGCAGAGCTTCCTGAACCGGCTGCAAGGTGCTCTTAAAGAGATCTTGGTTCAGCTCCTCGAAGCGAGCTCGCGTGATCGACGTGTAGAAGTCGATTCCATCTAGCAGCGAGTCAATTTCAATGTTGGCTTGAGTCGACGAGGACAAGGTTCTCTTTGCCCGCTCGCAGGAGGTCCTCAGTCGGCGAAGTGCCCGCTTGTTCTTCGTCAGATCCTTCTTGAACTTCCTCGAGAACTCTTGCGCGAAGTATGTCACCATGCGACTGTCGAAATCTTCGCCGCCCAGGTGAGTGTCGCCGGAGATTGCTTTCACCTGCAAACATGTTGCCTGCACTTTTTCACCAATCTCGTTGGAAACCTCCTGCGTTACTTCGCCTCCGTGTTTAACTTTCGGTATACGGAGCTGTGCCAATTTTATAGTAACTCCTTCGCGATACCGCAAGTAGAGCAAGTAGGAATCAGGTCAAGGAACAACAAAGTTAAAAGCATCCCTTTATGACTTGCTACAGCCAGAACTTCGAGGCCGTACCTTCGCGTAATCAAATTGTTCCTAGAACCGCTAATCTAGGTTCCAGATAGCACCTACGAAACTACGCGCAGCTCTTTCTACCTCTCCTTACTGTCAACGAAATTATAAAAGATCGTAAACTCTGTTGCCGACCTTTTCATATTCTATGTGAACTTTCGCATTAAAACCTGCCCCGCGTTGAGCTTTTATTTAAAAACTTTTCGCGTACTTCTCGCGAACCGTTCGTGGAGAAGCGTGTAGCTTCCGCCGTCTGAAAGAGGGAGGAAAGATTGTTGTACGGGAAGAGGGGAGAGAAGAGAACGTTCCTATGAGGCGCGTGTGGGCAACTCGCGGCCCGCGGGCAGAATATGGCCCGCGATCCGTCCCCGCGAAGTTTCTTAACACGTTGAGCGCGGAGCCGATTTCGCTCTGCTTTCCGTTCAGGCGGCGATCACTTCGCGAGCTGTTCGATTATAGAGTATAAACAGAAGATAACAAATGCGCTCACACGGCATTCAGACGAAGATATACCAATCCGGGTTGATAGAAGTGTGTGAAAAGAAGAAGGAGACGTGCATAACATTTATTTTTTAAACATGATACTGCCGGTCCCACGGACCGACGCCGCCCAAACGAAAAGTTCACTGTCAGTCACCACGGACTGACGCCGCGCTTAACGTGTTAATTCGGCGCTCTAGGTACTGATTAGTATCGTATTTCAGTTTATAATCTTATTTAATGTACTGGCCCTTTTCATTTAATTTAGTCAAAGTTGCGTGGAATTGGAAATATAAAGAGGTGTTTATTAACAAAAATATACGAGTAACTTTAATACATGTGGGAGCGAGAGCGTCTCGATGCGATGCTTCGAAATGTTGCGACCGCGGCAACCGGGATCGCGAGCGGTCTTGTCTGTCGAATCGCGAGCGTGAGCGGATGCTATTGATTCTATTCTACTTTATTTTACATTAAACTTTTGTATCCTACAAGCTAGACTGCTACCCGTCCTAATCCTACATACACGTGACTTTGACCCACGCTTCTTCTATTCACGCCTCTCGGCTTTTCCAACAACACTGTCTTTCCATCCCTCGCACGCCATACTTTACATCCAGCCCCTTCGTCGGCCTCTCGTCGCTCGTCGCCCGCTTTCTCTCTTATGCTCGCCGCATTTTCTCAAAACTGCGCTTTCTTAAAATTACGATACTAGAGTTGTACGAAACACATAACGGAGATTTGCTTTGGCCGATAATTTGAACCAGGAAAGGTAAGAGGAGCGCAGCTCACGATCGAACAGAACAGAACGGAGAGACAGATAGACAGACTTACTTCGAATATGCCGTCGTTGATAGTGAGTATCGATACGTCGAAAGTACCGCCGCCAAGATCGAAGATCAGAACGTTCCTTTCACCGCGTCCCTTTTTGTCGAGGCCGTAAGCAATAGCGGCGGCAGTCGGCTCGTTAATGATCCTCAGGACATTCAAGCCGGAGATAGTACCGGCGTCCTTGGTAGCCTGCCGCTGGGAATCGTTGAAGTACGCCGGTACCGTAATCACCGCGTTCGTCACGGACTTTCCCAAATAAGCTTCCGCCGTTTCCTTCATTTTCGTCAGGACCATCGACGAGACCTCCTCGGGAAAGAACGTCTTCGTCTCGTTCTGGAACCGTTACGCGATCCACGCGATGAGATATTGACGGAGAAATCAGCACAAGAGTCGCGGAGATGAAGTAGGTTTATTTAGAAGAAATCGCGGAATTTCGGGTAGATTAACCCTTTTGTGTCTGGGGACGAGATGTCTCGTGCATTGATTTTTATTTCTTCGATATTTTTGCGTGAGGTATACAGGATGTCCAGCAACTCCTCGAACACCCGGAAATGGAGGGTTGCTGGGGTGATTCTGAACAACTTTCTCCTTTGCCAAAATGTTGTTTGAAGCTTCATTTTTGAATTATTAACGAAAAACACTGGCCGAAGAACAGAAAAACGACCTTCGCTATTTTCTTTACGATTCCGACTAATTGCAGTTTTTTCAGAAATTTATACAAACGTCGGAATGACGGCAAAAACCCATTTCTCCAAGCCTTATAAAAATAGCGGTGCAAAGTGAAATTTTTTTGACAGCGATCGATAACCGAGAAGTGACGCGTACGCGTCGTTCACGATAGCGCGCGGGTGAATCTCTGTTCGGCCGTCCCTGAGCGCGGGCTCTGCGCGCTCTCTGATTGGCCAGTGGTTTTCGTTAATAATTCAAAAATGAAGCTTCAAACAACATTTTGGTAAAGGAAAAAGTTGTTCAGAGTCACCTCAAGAACCCCCCATTTCCGGGTGCTCGAGGAGTTACGGGACACCCTGTATAGGGGGGAACAGTAAGAATCGCTACTTTGAATATTTCTGGAATAGTGATTTTCTTTTTTGTGTAGAATCACTGCTTTCTAAGTTGTATCTATCTGTCTTATGTTATATTCCATATCGTCGTCGTGATTATTATCGCAAATAACTCGATTTTTCATTCGTCGAGACTTCATTTCTATAATATGAAACTTCTACCCTCGCATTATCTCAGAATTTAGTTATTTATTCAATGTTAATTATTCAAAGTCATCTAAGAAAATTTGAAACCATTCAAACTGTGTTTAAAACACTTCTGATATCCTTGAAAATAAGGGAGATATACCCTCTCAACTGAAACGCCCAGTAGAACAAAGACATTTTTCTCAAACCACATCGTCGAATAACAGAAGATATCTAACCCATTGATACGAGAAGGGTTAATCGTGATCAAAACCCACCTTGTACTGCACTCGAATCTTCGGCTTTCCTGCGTCGTTCACCACGGTGAATGGCCATTGTTTCATGTCAGCCTGGACTGATGAATCGTCGTACCGTCTGCCAATCAGTCTCTTCGCGTCTGTCAGACGATATCATTAACGCTTCCCTTAACTATCGATTCGAACTCGGTCGAGCAACGATCGCGTAATTGGTCACAGACGCGACCAGGATCGAGACCGAATTTCACGTTATCTCTCTCTCCGTACCCGAAATTCTAACCTCGTCCATCGGTCTGTCTATAGATCCACCGAAGACGGTAAGTCGATTTGGCAGCGTCGAAACGAGAGCATTCTCAACGCTGCAGCCGGCTTCCGGTAGGAGTTTCTTTTCGCGGCCGAGCCACTGCGCCGGAAGCCAGCCCAGAAACCCCGGAAATGATAGCGATTCTTTGGATTCGTAGACTCGCTGCCAAGTCGCCAGCGCGATTATCAAAAATTCCATTCGGCCAAACCTCTATCTCTGTATAGATATATTTCGACTTTCCGTCCGCGGATACGCTTTTGCTATTTCGTTGCTTTCAAATCGAGAATACCGTCTTGCGCTACTATCGAATTTACCGAAGATCGTGTTCGTCGGATTCATGGCCACTTGGTTCTTGGCTGCGTCTCCGATTAACCTCTCCGTGTCGGTAAATCCGACGTAGCTCGGCGTCGTACGATTTCCTTGATCGTTCGCCACGATTTCCACCTTCCCATTGAGAAACACTCCGACGCAGGAGTAAGTCGTGCCTAAATCGATGCCAACTGCCGGTGCTGCCATTGTGAACCCGCGAAATTTCCAGGATTGACGAAGGAGAAATGGGGGATTTGCGATGTCGAGAAATCGTTGCTCGGCTGTTTCGATCGTTCAATCAACGCTACCTACGATCGCGCTAGATTTCGCCAAGTTCGACGATGTATGCTCGTTTAGATGCGCGGAAAATGGAGCAAGAAAAGGTAGCATTTACCGAGGAGCGTAAAAAACGTACTCGAGAAGCGTCATCTTCTATTCTCCGCTCAATATTAACAGGACCTCGTGAGCCGCTGTTCTTTCTGTTTTACGATGATGGCGTTCCTGTGCTCTCAAAAACCGGCTGAAATATTGAAGAAGCCTGACGACAGTGGCGTTCGCCATCGCCGGGAATTGATTTATGGATTTTCATTGTAACGCAAGGCCGTAACCTCTTGAAAAAGGGTCAAACTTTCGACCAAGTAACCTCTCCTATTCTCTAAGCAAGGACACTTTGCGAGGAAAAAACCAAACTAGAACAGCGTGCATTTCGGAAATCTGAAAGGACGTCGCTTTGTCGTAAAAACACAGAGGCACGTCGTGTTCCATAAAATTCGCGTTGCAGAGGAGCCAAGGAGGGGATCAAACGTCGTCGCGGAGTCGCGAACCGTGGCAAGACCGAAGGAGACGTTGTCGCGTTGGATCCCCGAGGTTTTACACGCGACAAAAGAAACGTCGTCTCTGCTAGGGGAGAGAAGACGTAATCTGGATGGTTTCCGGGAGGCTGGCCGTGCCAAATGCACTTGTGAAACGACTCGTTCGGTTCGATGATCGCGCAATTACCGAGGAAGATCTATCGCGCGATGCTAAATTTCGCGCAACGCGTCGACGTCCGCCAGAGGTGGGGAAATTTCGTGACCAGGATCCCGAATGGACCCGTGCTGTTTCACAAAGGGACACGCTGATACGGCCTATCCTCCCGTTTATGCCGCCGTAATAAACTTTCCGTCTCGAAGCTTCCTCCCGCGACGAATGATCGATAGCCGTGAATCGAAACGCTGACCGGACGGTATTTCGCGCGCGTGTCGTCCCCCTTACTCGTTAACCCTCGAAAGAACCTGCGTAGGGGTCGTTCAGCGAGATACCGTGATTGTTTTTCGAGATTGAACTCGGGTGGGGTTGGTAAACAATCGTTTTTATCAGGCTGTAGGTATGGCAAATATTGGAAATTGTCGGAGGAAAATTGTGTTCGTTGTGAGAATTAATTAGGCGACACGGGTTCTTGTCAGGAACGGAACACGAGCATACGGCGGAGCACCGCCCCAAGCTGGTCCAGGAGGAGCTAGGAGGAGCTTGCGCGATAAATTCAGCTCCAAGGATAAGCTCGAATTTGGGACGCGTTAATTTGCTTATCCTTGTAGTAAGGATCTATATATCCGTTCGCTACGACGGTCAAAAATTGGAGATTAACGGTGGAGTCGTGCGAATAGCTTTTCTAAAAATGTTTCCAACAATATATGAGAAATTGAAAATTTCTTCTAAGAACTGAAGGTAATCGTGCTGAGTGTGAAAAATTCTTGAGAAACAGAGAAAACGAATTTTACGGGACGCGTGATTTTCACGCATTTCGAATTTCACAGGGAAAATTACACTTCTCTCCTACCACTTATGTATGCTTACAAATTTTAAGGAAAATGTAAATGTCATTCGCGCGTCAATTGACGCGTGATAGGTATACAAGAAATGTCCGTAAACCCAGTGTCAAATCAGACAGAATCTCGTCAGAAACCTCCGTCTACATAACATAAAAGAATTAAACACAGCAAATCGTAGAAATCCACTCAACTCGAAGCGACGACAAACGCTGAAGCAAAATTCGAGAAAAACCTTGAAAGCACAGAAGGAGCGATAAAGGTGGGCCAAGAATAAGGACGCAAGGATGGAGAGAAGAGTGGATACGTAGAATGGTAGGCAAAGTAGAATAGCGCGGAGGGGGTTGGAATCGCGCGAAGGGGTGGTGACGCGAATATCGAGATTGGATCGGGGCGGGGGACGGGTGGGCAGGCCTCATAAATATGTCGTCAGGCCGGTAAACAAGGGCACGCGAAGTCGGTACAAGCGGGTACGTCCGTTCTCGGTGTCGTATATATACGCGCGGCGTATTGTAGGAGCGTTTGGTGGCGGCGGTCGTGGTCGCGCCGCGCCGCGACCGGGGATTTAAAGCCGGGAAATTTATCGTTTCGCGAGGAGGCGGACAGAAGCGACGAAAGGGATGAAGCCACGACTGAGAGAAGCTGCAGGAGGTTGAACGACGGTGGGAGGGATGTACAGGAATGGATGCGGCGTGGAAGAGAGAGAGAGAGAGCGAGGAGGGAAGACAGGGAGTAGCGAAAAGCTCTGGCAGACTACCGAAAACCAGTCGTCTAGAATACTCCGGTTCCCCTACCACGATCTGGCCGCGATTCAACGACCGTTCCGTCGGCTCTTTTCAACCTGGCTAGCGTTCTCGCTATATGGATGCCTGGTGTCCTGAAGGAAACCGCGAGTTTCTTCTCAACCAATGGATCGTCGCGAAACGGACGATCACCTGTATATAGCTTCTTTTTCCAGGTTATTTTCGGTGTCCTCGAAAAACGTTATTCCGAGCTTAGAGGGCTGTAATTCGTGTATAGTTGATGGAACGAATATAGCGAGGTCGTGAATTAAAGAATCAAGGGTTGAATTTGTGAATTAACTTCTTAAACGATGATTTCGTTTCTGTCTATTCATCTAAGCGTCTGTCATTTTAATGTTTTAGTGATGTATCAGGTAAGGAAAGCTCGTCTGTTACATATTAATTACACTTAGTAATCCTCAAGTTGGAATTATAATTAATTTTTCTTACTGATATAACTATTTTTCTCGTATCTTGATCAGAATCTTTGCAACGAGTGTGACATGTTGTAGGTTAAAGGATTAAAGCTACGTGGTGTTAAATCACCGTTACTTCTCAGAATTAAATCGTAAAAATGAACCTGCAGGTGGTAAGGATCAAAGCACAGACGTATTAAATATACTGTAATAGAAGGAGCAATTTCGAATTGACATCGAATGGCCCTGAAAGAGGCGCAAGCTCTCTCATAGTGTTAAGGATACTTAAGTTTAGACCAGGTTTACGATACGGACGCGACTCTGCTGTTTTTAAGATTAAGGTTCGAATACGCGTTTAATGTTTTCGTTCGTTAATTATTCCTTATTGTCAGGAGGGCTCCAAACCTCTCATAAAAGCGGAGAATTTGGAGTTTCTTCGTGCATCTCAATAGCAATTGACGTGAGCTGAGGCACATGCGAGCGAGCAAGCGGTACCCTGGGTTTGTCGCAGAAGCTCAGGTGACTCGTACCTCACCCAGAACACCCCTTCCCTAAGGGTGAGCGGTTGGCGTCGGGCGTCGACCAAGGCCCTAACTTGATTGGGAGTCTTGGTCCCCCACACAAATCTCACACCCGTCAAGGGACCCAAATGGACGGACAAGACCGTATAAGAGGACTGAACAGTGACAGATCAGGGGGTGATAGACAATGAAGGACATTGTTGTAAGAACACATTAGTGAAACATAGAATTCTGAACTCTAGTACGAAGGATTACACGAATTTTGAAACTCAGGACATTCGACTCGCACACATTTAACATTTAAGAACTCAGTTACATTGTATTACTGTTACATGACAAACTGTGTTGCAAATAAAGAGTTATTTGCTATATAATCAGGCTTCATGAACATTGTGGGAGCCAACGCATAGCGCTTGGATTATGTGTGCTTCGAGGTCTAGTCGATTTTGCGATCTTACCGTATCAGTTTCACCGACTATCATCCGACTATCACTCTCACTTTCAAAACCTCCCCGAAAAATTCACGAAATTAGAATACAGTATCTCATACAGTCGATAAAGAGCGTCCCGAAGAGAAATCGCCCAGCAAGGCCGGTAATCTGCCGCGACAAGCAGCGATCGCTGTCGTATTTCTCCTCGGATAATAGACATAAATAACGAGGCTGATATTGAATGAGAGAAAAGTGGGAACCGGTTGGAACACTTTCAGTGCATCGGCAGGGTTTGGTCTGCACACACAGAGAGAGACGAGAATAGCGAAGAAGGGTGAGAAGAGCGGCGTGCCGCAGGGGGTGTGGAAAGGGCAACCGGCGAGCTGCAACATTTCGAATATAAGTTAGCCGGATATTGTTCGGCGCGGGGCGAATGGTAAGGGGCTTAGCAGCTCTGGAGCACAGCGGCCAATATGGTGGTTACACGAGGATGAAACGATATAAATCCCGAAACGCTTACAGTTATTGCAGATCCAACGTAATATCCACTCGAACGCCACGCCGCGCCGCGCCGGCCCGGTTTACGCGGTAATTCGCCGATGACAGCGTCGCGATAAAATGAAATCGGTCCGCGGCTTTTATAACGGCCGCGACGCGTTAATCCCCTTTCGCCGTCAAGGCTGACGACGCGACGCGCCCGAGAAGCGTTGAAAATGAGGCGAGAAGCGACCGAGCTGTGAAATTTTCACCTCCTTTATTTCTACCTGTCGAATTTAACGCTCGCACCTGAATTAAAGCGGAGCTCTTTGGTTACTAAAATCTTTCGGTTTATCGAAATTTCTTTTGATTGCTAAAAAGGAGCTCTCTGGTTATCAGAGTTTCCTTCGGTTATTAGCCCTTTGCACTCGAGTGGCGACTGAGAAGCGACATTGTTTACCACTTGGTAAAAGATTGATTTACAGGACTGCAGGCCTCGCATAATTGTCTAAGCAGCGAATTGGTTTGGAAGAAGCAGTCCTTAATGAACTGCTACAACGCCTTGTGTAATATAAGAATACATTAAATATAGAAATACATCTGATTTGCAATTTACTTGTAGCAAAAGGATGTTCGAGTGCAAAGGGTGAAAAAGGTGCGAGCGACGTTTGACAATTATTTTTGAACGCCGAAAAAAGAAGAAAAAAGGACGAACTAATCTCTGGTCTCGTCTGGGAACGATCGAACCGTAGGACAAGTTCCGATAATCTACTCGAGTAACCTCGAACGATTCACAATTTTCTTTTCACCCCCGTAGCCAGCTATTATTCTCCCATTTCGCTCTCGTAAGTCATAAATAATACGCGACGATCGAGTTTTCGCCGGTGGTGGTATCGAGGACGTACACGCGTCTCGCTGGAAATCCCCTCGCGAAAGATGAAACGGCTCGACGTTTCGAACCGAGATCGTACCGAAGATGACAAATCTCATACGGTATTCATGGAAACTGCGTATTCATCAATGAGATGATCGTCGGGGCTCCGGATAAAAATCCTGTTCGACCGTCGAGCGCGCCGTTACACACTCTGCGTTACTTCCCAACCCTCTTCGTGTTCTCTATCATCCCTCTCTCCTCTTTCCGCCTCTCTCTCTCTCTCTTGCTCGCTCGTGCTAGAATATTCGAGCACTCGCAAGAAAGAGCATTTCCGCCAGGGTGGCGCGGCGTGTGTACGTGGGTGTACGGTGCTCGACGTGTGCGTTATTTGAGTTATTTCACACATGGCGGCCGATCGATAGGCATCGCGTTGCATTCGGGGACTCCCTCCCGCGCAACTTCCACCGTCGCTCACCTCTTCCTATAGGCAGTTATACGTCTTTCTGTCCGCGTACCACCGCTCACTTTATCGCTCCCTGTGTGTCACCGGACACGCGGACGCGACGCGAATCACGCGGACACGGTTTGTAGCGGAAGGAAGGGATTTGCGGCTGGGAGTCGTCGAAGTGCTTCGACGTTCAGCTACTTCGGTTTGTGATTGAATTTCGGGAAAGCGTGTTTAACTCTTTCGCTGCGGAAAATTTTAGTACGGCACGAATCATTGTTTTAACTTAAACTATTTAAATAAATGAATATAGATACGTTTACAATAAATAAATTTCTGAATATAAGAATCTTATAGTACAATAAATTATTAATATAATTATAATTATATTTATTCACGAATATAAAGATATTAGTAAAATAATTTCTCTTACTAGATTAACACGTTCCGTGCCGCGTGGGTCGCATACGCCCCACCCTGGACTTTCCGTTCAGGCCATTTCATATTTCGGCCTTTTCCTTCCGCTGACTTGAACTGTGCAACTACGGCGATAATTTGTTGAAACAAACATTTTTCCTTTGCTCTATCGCGTATCTTGAACGTTACCTTTTTCACGATAACAATGATTTTTGCAATCTTGTAAATATTGGAAGACACATAGGGTGATAAGCAAAACTGTTAGTCTCGACAACGTGGGGCGCATACGACCCGCGCGGCATGAACGGAAAGTCACCGAAAATCGGTCCGGCACGGAACGTGTTAAATGATACTGGAGCAGCTATATTTGATGAACGTAGTAAGAATCATATTAAGGATATTGAGGGTATTAAATTTATTATTCCTTTATTTATAATTATAATTCGTCTATTAGTTTGTTTATAAATAATATTAATTAGGT